CTTTCTTGTCTAGGACAATTTTCCATACGTTACAGGGGTTCAATTCTTTGGAACCGTTTTTCTCATCTGGCAACCCAGTGTTCTACTGTGGAAGTATTTAAAAAGCAGCTAAAAAGCCATCTAATAAAGGGTAAATGATCTGTGCCCTCCTGGACCTTAGCCTTTCCACCTCTATTTCAAGCACAATGACAACTTTAACATGGATACATTGTGGGCTCCCCAGTATCACCTATAGTCACCATCATCTACTTGGAGGAAGTGGAAACCAGAGCATTGAACTCCTACAATGGATTAACACCCAGCCACTGGTTCAGATATATGACATATGGGTCAAAATTATCATGCAGGACGTTTCACCAAGCACATTAATATCCTACACAAGAACATCAAGTTCACCAGGGAGGATGACCACAACAACCATACCATACCATACCAAGTTTATTTGTATAGCACATTAAAACACGGCATGAGAGCCGACCAAAGTGCTGAACAAAAACACACAATAAAAACAATCAAAAATAAACACTAAACCCATAAAAATCGAGTAATCCAACTCGAAAAGAAAAGGGGAAAGAGAATAAGTTAGACTGAATTAAAAGCCAACGAATAAAAGTGAGTTTTTAAACGAGACTTAAAAAGGGAAAGAGAGGAAAAGAGTCTGATCAGGAGGGGCAAGTGGTTCCAGAGCTTCGGTGCACAAACCACAACAACAAACTGCCCTTCTTCTGACTGCACTGTGCAAATTCAGCAGGATGGAAGTCTCAGCATTGAAGTCTACAGGAAACCAAGTCACACAGACCAGTATTTGCATTTTGACTCACATCACCCACTGGAGCCCAAATTGTCAGTCATCAGGACTTTACACCATTGGGCTGAAAAAATTTCCCCAAAGACTGAAGGAAAGCAAAAGGAAGAGAAACACATCAAGAAAGCTCTCAAAAAGATACTGCAGATACCCTAACTGGGCCTTTGTGAAATCAACAAAGAAGTCTGGAAAATAATTCACAGCAGCAACTAGCAAAGAAAAGGATAACAGGCGCAAAGGCACCATCACCACCGTGTGCGACGGTGGCACAGGAGTGAAGTGCTCGCCCCGTAATCTGAAGGCTGCAGGACTTTAGAAGGTGCTATATCAAATACAGGCCATTTACCATGATCCCATGCATGACGGGAGGATCAGAGAAACATGGAAGAATCTTCCCCAAACAAAACATCCCGGTAAACTTTAAAACCCAACAGCATCCTAAGACAGAAATTGGTCAATCCAAAAGATAAAACACCCAAACAGAAGCTAACTGGCATATTTTATGCAGTCCAACGTAGTGAGGACTGTCCAGGTTACACTGGGGAAACCAAACAACAATTACATATATGCATGGCACAACAGGAGAGCCACTTCGTCAGGCCAAGACTCTGCAATCCACTTACATCTGAAGGACAAGGGACACACTTTTGAAGATGACAGAGTACACATTCTGGACAGAGAAGATAGATGGTTTGAGAGAGGAGTAAAGGAAGCTATCTACTGTCAAACAGGAAAACCTACATTAAATAGGGGGCTTAAGGGAGTTGACGTCATTTTAGCAACCACGCCCCTACTCGTGGCCCCCAAGTGGCCCAAAGCTTCTGAACCATGCACCTAGGAAGCTTTTAAACCACGTGGACAGTCCTGCACGGAAAAACAAGGAGGACTGGCAAACGCTCGTAGTGGCAGAGGTTTGTACAGACATCTTTATGATTCGGTCCATAAAGATCACCGTGATCAAAATATTGTTAATAATTGCTGTCACAGTCGGAAAAGACAAGAACATAGTGAAACAATGCTGTTCACAACAGTGAATTCTACTTCTACCATTGTTTAGTGTTGTTTGCATGCCGTAGAGCCCCATGCCGCCCCCTACAGTCTGGGAGAATATTTGCTCACAACAGAGACAAGACGTAGAGGGTAGGAAGAAACCAAAAACTATGCAATTTCCGATGTGTTTCAATGCGTAGATGAAACGCGCATTGGAACTTGCATCATTTATGGTTCCTTTCTATATACAAGCAAAAACCAAGAATTCATCTTTCCAACATCTATAATGCAGCTTTAACCCCCCCACCCCACCCCCACCCACCCCCCCACCCCACCCCCCACTGTCCTATCAGGTGACCCCTCCAAAAAAGGTGACCTGCCACGTGGACATCAAGGGATAAACTATCAACCCTGCTCAATGGTCACCTTTTCCTCAGGTCACCTGATAGGACAGTGGGGTGTTAAACCTAATACCAAAACAGTTTTGGTCCAGGTCACACTCTCCTGCTTCTTATCAAAACAACAAATCTAAAGCAATATGCCCTAACAACTCCAACATCTCATCAGTGGGTAGGAAGGAGGGGTATTTATAGATAGTTTCCAGTTAGCCACAATAGACAGCTAAAATTTATGAGTTTGACCCTCCTATATTTCCAGTCAGAATTGACAAAGTTCCTCGGTTGAGAAGCAAAATGTCTTCAAGAAACCAAAGTCCAGTAGCCTTAATTTGAAGCAATTGTTCTACTTCTTAATCTTTTATTTCATTCAAAATGTATAAAATAAACACAAACAAATACAACATACATTTACATATTGAGAAGAAAAAAAACATTTGAATGAAAAGGAGCAGATAGAAGATTAATCTTATTATTTCTGCCCCTTTTTACGAAATAAAATTATCCGTCAAACAAACGCAATATAACCTCAGTCACTTTCTAATATTTTCATGTCTAATCTTTGACATTATAATTCACCTTTTCATAATTACTAAATACATTAGATTTTATACATGTTTTAAATATAGCAAGTGAAGTTGATTCTTAAATTCCTTGTTAATGGCATTCCACAATCTTACACCATTTACGGAAATGTTACATTCCTTCACTTTGGTTCTGAATCTGGGTTTCTTAAAGACATCAGTGCTTTTAACATGTACCCACTTACTCTCTTATGAAACATTTTCTGAATATTAGTTGGTAGATTACTCGTATTCGCTCTGTACATTATTTGCAATATTTTCCACTCTACCAAGTCAGGAAATTTCAGTATTTTGTATCTAATGAATAATTGATTGGTGTGATCTCTATAGTTACTGTTATTAATGATTCTCAATGCTCTTTTTTTGCAAAATGAACAACGGTTGTGTAAAAGTTTTACAAGTGGCTCCCCAAATTTCGAAACAATAAACTAAATATGGTTCAATCAGTGAGTGATACAATGTTAATAACCCCGACAAATTTAGTAGAAACTTGACTCTGTATAATACACCTATGGCTTTGGCGATTTTCCCCTTTATTTAACCTACACGTGATTTCCACGTGAGACTCTCATCGAACATGACTCCAAGAAATTTGGTTTCTTTTAATCTTTGAATTTCCATTCCATCTATTATTAAAGATACATCACAGCTTCTTCTGTTATTTAACAGTATATAGTTTGTTTTGTTCAGGTTCAGTGACAGTCTATTTATATCAAACCATTTTTTAACTTTAATCAATTCACTGTTTATCACTTGAGTTACTTAATGTGCATTTAATCCTGAATAAAACAATGTGGTATCATCCGCAAATAAAACTGTTCCAAGTAAATTAGATACATTTACCAGGTCATTAATAAACAATATGAACAGTTTAGGTCCGAGGACTGACCCTTGTGGCACACCATAATAAATATCTTTTAATTCAGATTTAGCATTATTTATTTGAACAAACTGTTTTCTATTGCGTAAATAACTATTAACCCATTGATGAGCCACCCCTCTTATTCCATACCGGTGTAATTTAAGAAGGAATCTTGAATGATCAATGACATCAAATGCCTTCTTTAAGTCAATAAAATCACTAATGAAATAGTTTTTATTGTCAATTGCTGATGAAATTTTATCTGCTAAATCCATAACTGCCATTGCTGTTGAATGTTTGGTCCCAAAACCATACTGTTCATGATTTAAAATAAAAATTTTATCAATGAATTTGTCCAACCTTAATGCAAACACTTTTTCTTATATTTTGGAAAACTGTGGAAGCAGTGACACTGGCCTGTAATTAGTGAAACTCTGTTTATCACCACCCTTAAATAATGGAACCACCTTGGCAATTTTCATGAAATCAGGGAAGACTCCTGTAGATAGTGACAGATTACAGATGTAAGTGAATGATTCAATAACAGATTCAATTATAGCTTTTACAGTCACCATGTCCAGATCATCACAATCAGTTGATCTTTTGCTTCCCCAGTTTTTCACAATGTTTCTTATTTCTTGTTGCTCTACTTTGTCAAGCAAAATACTATTGACATTTCTAGGTATTGCATTCATTGTATCGTGAATTATTGGTTTGCTTTCCACCAGACTCCTTCCTACATTTATAAAAAAAAATCATTGAATTCATTAGAAATTTCTTTAACTTTATAAATGTCTTTATTGTCCTTTACAAATGTAGTTTAGAAGTCTTGCATTTGCATTATCTCTGTTAATCACATTATTTATTATTCCCCATGTAGTCTTGATGTCGTCTTTGTTCTTATTCAATAGCTCACCATAGTACTCTTTCTTCTGTTTCCTAATTATTGTTACTCATTTATTTTTATACTTTTTATATCTATCTTCGGCTTCCTTTGTTTGTAACTTTAAGAATCTCATATACAGACAATTTTTTTTTTGCACATGCATTTTTAATTCCAGTAGTCATCCATGGTTGTTTATTTTAAAGGGCTTGTGTTTTTACATGGTTTACTTTGTTATTCTTTCTAAAAAAATTAATAATGGAATAAAAAAAGATTGAGGTATTGTGTGGCACTTGCTGAAATGAGCTTCCACTGCTGAGTGGCTGACTCACCTTCCGGGGTAGGGTGAGGAGCTTAGAGGTTGTTTTGTTTTTGTTTTGTTTTTTGACCTACTGCTTCTACACATTGAAAGAAGATAGTTGAGCTAGTTTTGCTGTGTTCTAAATCTAAATTAAATTAATGTTATTTTTGTTTCATACAGACCAGCTTCGTAACAACTACCAAGTGGGTAATGACTGTTCCCTGAGAGTCGTCTACGCCAATGGGATGGATACACACTACCAGACAGAGCCACATATACTTGCAGGTATGTTTTGAGAGGAACTCCTCAAAAGTACTTTAATACCAAAATCATTATAAAACAGCCCTGCTGAAAAAAAAGCAGCATAGACCAGTATAGATTGCAGGTTCAAGCCCCATTCAGTCTGTCGCTGTTTCCTTGGGCAAGACACGTAACCCACCTTGACTGTTGGTGGAGTTCGGAGGGACCGGTGGCACCAGTGCATGGCAGACTTGCCTCTGTCAGTGCGCCCCAGGGCAGCTGTGGCTACAATGTAGCTCATCCCCACCAGTGTGTGAATGTGTGTGTGAATGGATGTAAAGCGCCTTGGGAGGGTTCCAGGACTCTAGAAGGCGTTATAATACAGTCCATTTACCATTTCTGTTGAAAACAGAAGACTGCATCTGTGATTTTGCATGCCTGTACATTGTATTTGATATTTATATATTGTGGTCAAATTGATTTCCATTTGCAGTAAAATTACAAACATGTATTATAAACAATGTATCATGTCTATTGGAATTCACTATATATAATCTCATTAACATTTTGGGGGGTGTTTTGTTTTCTTTTACATCCGTATAGGTGCTGCTAACCCTACTGTTGCTCGACGCAACATGACTCTGCCAGGAGACAATGGTCAGAACTTGGTGGAATGGAGGTTTAGAAAGGAGCAAACTCAAGGAAAGGTCATTGTATTTGGAAGAAAACTGAGGGTAAGTGATTTTACAGATACTGGCCAGAGGTGTATTTCTTTTCAATGATGTGTAAAATGTACTGAAGCACACACTACTTTCTACATTTTAACCTGTTCTCTCTGTCAGACATCCAAAAATGGCTGTGGATATTGTTGTTACTCTCCTCTGTGCTCTCACTGGGGTTAGGAAACACACAGCAGCTGTTTCTAAACTGTTCAGCAGAGATATGTTGAGTCCATTCTCTCCAGGGCAGGCGGCGACAGACGTATAAGGTCTGTCTGGACAGATGGAAATTCTCCATCAGTCATCAGTAAAACTTGGAAAAACCTTTTACCACCAGTCATCAGCTTTGTTCTTCACGGACGGTGAAGAGTTGAACGACGAGTCGCAACATTATCTAAATGCAAACAGAATGCGAGTTAAAATATAATCTAAAATATTAACTTATTGGTAATAGAGCTGCAACAACTAATTGATAAAATAAAATCGATTAAAAAAATTGATGAAGAACTGCATTGGCAATGCATTTCGACATCAATTTGTTATGTTGTGCAACTTTTTTTCGTGTCGTGCAATCTTTATTTAACAGTCAATGCACAGCAACAGAGCAGACCGAGGCAGATCAGAAAAAGAGAGAAAGCCGGTGTTTTGATGAGGAACGACACTCTTAGAACAGTAACTTGCTTACTGACGCACAATGAGCTAATCTAGGTGGTATGGAGGAAAACAGAAACCAGCAAAGACACAAAGGCAGAAACAGTTTGGGATCAAAGCACAACTACGGGCAGATTAGCTAATGCTAGCAGGTAGCAGGCTCACGATCAAGTGGGGCTCCGTAAAAAGATGATGGCCGTGAAACTAAAAACATCTAAACTGTGTAGAAGTGGAAGAAAAGTCCTCACCATTCTTTTTATTCTTAGCTGTCTGCAGCGCTATGGAGCAGAACCGCTGCTGTCAGGCTGTCTGCTCTAGTCTGCTACACCACTGCAGGACTGTGGCAAGCCACTGTAACATGTAATTCACAAATGCGTCTATCTGTGAAAATAATTTAAACAGTATTATTGCCAAACCCTACTAATTAAATATGTCACCATTACATTTTTAGCAGTAGAAATGTAATGTTATTAGCATTTCCAGTAGCTGAACATGTTAACTAAGTACATTAAATTTTACTGATCATGGTTCAATTATAGATATATTTAGATGATAGTATGTTGTTTTGCACGCCATTGAACTGTTTTCTAATCATGTTTTGTTGTTAAATAATGTAAAGGAAGGAGAGGAAAAAATGTTTCCCTAGCAGTTTTTAATCAAGTAACTTAGTTAATGACATTTGTGGGATATGTGGGGTCTTTTTAATCTGTAAAACACTTTGATTTACATCTTTTGTATGAAAAGCACTTCATAAATAAAGTTTGATTTGATTTAAATGTTCCTGTTTAATTCGATTAATTGAGTCGAGATCCCATCCGATTCATCGATGATCCTAATAATCGTTTGTTGCAGCCCTAATTGGTAATCTGCTAAAGAAAAACTATTAAATATTATTAAAATGTAAAACCATACAAATGTGCGTGTTCAATAGGTTAAACTTACACGTCGTCTCATTTATCAGCGGCGCTGTTTTCCTTTCATCCTCCATGAAACGGAGCATCGCTCGCTGCCGGATTCTGCATCTCCCAACTCTCTGCGTGTTCTAGCAGCCTTGACGTGATACCTGTGATTTGATCGCCCATCAAAAGTATTCTTGTAAAGCAGGTAATAAGCACAGCTACCTCCTGAGTCTGCTGTTAGCTTAGCTTTGTGGTGTTGTTATTCCGGCACTTAACACTGTCGCAGGTGGTTTCGTCATGCCCGCCTCTAAAAGGTCCCTGAGTGCTGTGTGAGTGAAATCTGAAATTGTTCACATCTTCCGCTAACCTAACCTTTATCAAACTTGAAAAAACTGGTACAGTTTTTCGGGCTGCTTTTGTCTGATATTGGTTCTTTTTTTTCTCTCTCTCTCTCAGATAGTCCTACTGTAAGGCAGCAACTAGTTTTTTTTTATTATTTATTTTTAATCTGGTGAATTTTACAGGTAATTTTCTGAAACCTGTGTGCTGCTGCGGCCATGAGGTTATGAGCTTTTTTGGTTTTTGGTGTCATGTGTCGAACGAGTCTGCAGCTGGTGCGTTAAACAGTGGGACAGCTCACCATGTTGAGGCAAAAACAACCCGTGTTAAAAGACATGTATGTTACATCTGACAATGTGGGCGCAATTAATCATTGGTCATAAACTCCAGCTGCCCATCCCATGCGATTTGCGCTCCGGTAACATTTGATTTTTAAATTAAGCACTTTGCACTTCTCGTTGTTTGACCTTTTTGCCATGTGAAAATGCTATATAAATAAAGCTGAATGCGAACAAATGGAGGATATTTTTGTTTGTTTGTTTACAAATTGTGTTTTTGTGTTCCCTGCCTAACAGGTAAATGGGCGAAACTTATTGTCAGTAGATTATGATCGCACATTACGGACAGAGAAAATTTATGATGACCACAGGAAGTTCATTCTAAAGATCATCTATGACATCCAAGGTCATCCAGCACTCTGGATTCCTAGTAGCAAGCTGCTGTCAGTCAACTTAACGTTCTCCAGGTAAGCATGTTTTGGCTGGGGAATTATGATTATAAGTCAGCCATTAAAGATGGCATCACACCATTGTAAGACTAAGCAGGCCCCCAAACAACCCCAGATTATACATAATAAAAATGAAGATATTTTAATAGGCTACAGTTTGAGTAAGGTTTAGATGTGAATTTAGATTATTGAAATTAAACATGATTGTAGTTCAGACCATGTGTTTAAAGGGAGACTAGGCAGTTTTGGCTTGCTTTTAGCACCCCCTAGTTCTCGTTTGTAGAACCGCTATGCGTTTGTCTTTTTTTTTTTTTTTTTTTTACCGTATCCTGTCTGGCTGTGAAGCAAGCAGAATTGATGTCTGAATGCTGGTGACAAGCCTTACAGATTTATTCTCAGGTGGAGCATCAAAGCGTTTGCTTTTAATGTCACGCCTGATACTTAAAACTTTATTGTTATTGTTGTTGAATGCTTTGTAATTCCGACCAGACACGGAGACAGAGGTGAAAGAGAAAGGAAAAGAAAAGGTGGAGAGAGAGGAGGGGGGGGGGGGGGGGGTTACACAAAAATAAACAATGAACAAGAGTCTGCTTCTAAACCTGCAGAAAAAGACAAAAAAAACAAAAGGACACAAAAAAGGGACACAACAACAATACAACAAGATCTACCTATCACTGCGTCAACTTGATGAAAAAAAAACAAAAAAAAAACAATATATATATATATATATATATATATAATCAACATTGCTTAACTGAAGAATCACGATAATAAATCACAATGCATTAAGTGCCCCCATAGTCTTAAGACATGTGTTGAACATGCCCAAGCCCATACTTTTGAGAGCACCATGTGAGCACCTGTGTGTGTACACGCGCTTGTTTATTTAAGGTTTCTCTATAGGAGCGTCCAACAGAGAGTGTGAGGGACCACAGATCCGCCCCCCAAAGATGCGCAGGAGACGGGGGGAGCTCCAAGTCCCAGAGATCCAGGCGTTGCCCCAGAATGCAGGAACCCCAAAGAGACTGCAACCAGAAAGGCCCCCGCCCCCCTCGAGAGGCACAGAGGATCGCCCCGGGGGGCCACAACCAGCAGCCGGCAGAGTCCCTGGAGATATCAGCGGCAAGCCCACAGGCCCGCCCGCAGCCTCCCACCCCCTAGCCGGCCGAGCCTGGGACCCAGCGACCCGGGACCCAGGGGTGACCACCCCCGCCGGGGACCCAGCAGAGCCCAGGGACCCAGACCCCACCAGGCAGCCACTGGGATCTATCAGGCAGATGCCAAAATCTTAAACCCCCAGACCCGGTTGCCACGAACACTCAGGCAGACCATGGCACAAGCCCCCACACCAGGTGTGGCAGGGGGAGGGGGGACAAAGATCTATATCATCAAGAGAAGTTCCAGGAGAGGGGAGGACCCAAAGGCCCCACCTGACATATACAGTCATACACAAACACAGTCATACACTCCCTCCCTCATGCTCACACATGCACATACAACCCAAGACTTACAAAAATGCACGCCGGACACTCACTCATGCTCCCCATACACACCCTATTAACTCTGGTCCCGGTACTGCTGCACATGGGGTACAACCATCACCGGTAACCAGAGTTTGACCCTTTCTGCTGGGGTGCTGATGAGCAGGCTCCCCCGCCCAACGCTGAGCACAGCAACCCACCACCCCAGATCCCAACCAGACGGCCAGATCTCCCTCCTAGCCTCCAGCCCCAGGAAGCCTAGCAACAACAGAGGTGGCTAAGACCCCTAGTCTCCCTCCACCTGCTCCAATATAGTGTTGTGTGATCATGAGGTGAATTCCATGGCTGTGGTGAGTGGGCAGTGCGGGCATCATCTGGCATATGCCAGCTGATGCCACCGCACCACCCCACTTACACCCTCAGCCATCAGTGTCTAAGTGCGGTTTAAAATTGGAAGTGGGCACCGACACTCGGGAGGAGGCTGAAATATCCCCCTGCCAAATGCCGTTGAATGTGCTCACTCCCAAGGCCCTAAGTGTGTGTTTGTGTGGAATGTCGTCAGTGGAAGTGTATAAGGTGCAAATAAAATTGGGGGGCAGGTTGCCACAGGAATGCGGAAATGGGGTCCATACCCGCACTCCCTGACTTGCCCACCCCCCAAGGTCCTATGTGTATGTTTGTGTGATGATGTGAGGGAGCAGGAGGAGAGGAACATGCGGGGATGGGGAGGAATGGCTGGTTCGGCTTAGCCCTCCAGGGAGCCAGCTCCCCTACTGGCCCCAATAGGCACCTCTGTTGTCAAACTGCCACCCAGGGCATGGAGACCCCAGCCCATCCTGCCAGGGCCCAAAGCAGCAGCATTACAGAGCCTCACGGAGTCCGAGGGCACCAACCCAGCCCCATCCCAGCAGAATATCTATGCCCACCCCTGCATTTGCACAACTTCCAGAATATATAAGACATGGGACATCCAGGTAAGGTTTGGTCCTCCCCGTCCTGGACCTCCCCCTCCCCTGTGATGGAACGGCAGAGGAGCCAAGGTCTACCTGATGCCCCCGAGCCCGGGCCAGGCACTGCTGAGTGTTCCTGCCTTCTTCCCGGCAGCATACATGTCAGGACCCGACCCCCAAGGCCCCGCCCAGATCCCCACACGGGGCCGGCCACCCCCAAACCCCGAGCCCCCAGGCCCCCACCCAGACCCGCCCAGGGGCATTGCAGCCGCCAGGCAGTGACCCATGGCCGCCGCCAAGATCCCCAAGGGGCCCCACTCACAACCGCCAGCAGTCCACCCCCCGAGGCAACCCAAGCACCTCCAGAGGGGGGCAACAGCCCCCCAGTCCCAGACACCCCCAGTGAATCCACCTCCAGGGAACATCCGGATACTCCAAACTCAGACCCCCCCCCCCCCCCCCAACCACCCACACCATCCCGCAGGACAACATCAATGGCCCCCCACCCTCGCTATGTGATGTAACCGATCAAAGGAGCCCAGAGAGATTCATCTGAAGTGGAAGCAGAGGCTATATCAAGTGCAATATGATCTAACAAAAGATTTCTATACTGGTTAATGCAGAGACTTTCTCTATTTTTCCAATTCAAGAGGATAGTTTTCTTAGCGATGCATATGGCAGTCAGAACCACGTGAACCAAAGATGTTGCAATCGGGACTTCGTGCAGCTGTCCCAGTAAACAAAGAGAAGGGGAAGTTGGGATATGACATTTCAGACATTTTGACAGATCCTCACATACTCTACCCCAAAATTCCTGGACAGGTGGGCAGGACCACAGTGCATGAATGTAATTGTCAGAAATGTTGTTTGTGCAGTGTGTACAGGTGTCAGACGACACAAACCCCATCTTGAACATCCGATGACCTGTATAGTGTACTCTGTGTAGAATTTTGTACTGAATTAATTGTAAATTGGGGTGTCTGATCATTTTAAAAGTTTTTAAACAAGTTTGGGACCAGAAGTCCTGGTCAAAGCTAACTGATAGATCCACCTCCCATTTTTCAATAGGGATTGCAATTTTATCGTCTATTTTGGACAGTGTCTTATATACTTTAGACAGTAGTTTGGGGGGTTTGAGATTATAAAAGTCTAATACCCTTGGTGGTGTTTGTAATTCTATTTTATTGAGCTTAAATTTTTGTTTGACTACAGATTTAATTTGGTGATATTCTAAAAAGCTATTCTTATCCATTCCAAATTGGGAGACTATTAGATTAAATGGGATGAAGTCCAATCCTTCATATATGTGTTCCAGGTATAGGATTCCTTTATTTTTCCAGTCCGGAAGGTTCATCATTTTGTTGTTTTGCAAAATGTCAGGATTGTTCCAGATAGGTGTGCGTCTGCATGGTACTAGTGAAGACTCTGTCATTTTAAGATACTCCCACCATGCTGTCAGAGAGGTGCTGATACTAATACTTTTGAAGCTTTCATGTTTTCTTATGCTTGGGCTAATAAATGGTAAGTCTGAAAGCTCTATCGTATTGCAAAGTGTCTGTTCTATATCTAACCAGGACTCGTCTAATGGGTTATCTTGCAACCATCTTGGTATATATTGCAGCCTGTTGGCTAAGAAATAATAATAAAAGTTGGGTAAATCCAGTCCTCCTCTGTCTTTGGTCTTCTGAAGCGTTTTTAAGCTAATTCGTGGAGGTTTATCCTGCCAAAGGAATTTAGTAATTGAGGAGTCCAGAGATTTAAACCAGTCAGCTGGAGGTTTGTTTGGGATCATCGAGAATAAGTAATTTATTCTGGGTAAGACCATCATTTTAATTGTAGCAACTCTCCCCATGAGTGATATTGGTAAGGATTTCCATCTTGCAAGATCATCTTCCACTTTCTTTAAAAGTGGGTCGTAGTTTAGTTTGGTTAGATCTGCTAACTTGGGAGAGATATTAATTCCCAGGTATGTGATATTCCCTGACTCCAATTGTGTATTAAGCAAATTGACAAATGAGAAATTAATTGGTAGAACTGTGGATTTTAACCAGTTTATAGAGTAATCTGAAACTCTGGAAAAAGAGTTTATCAGTTCTATTGCTTGGGAGAGAGAGGATTGAGAATTCTGGAGAAAGAGTAAAACATCATCTGCATAAAGACTGATCTTATGTTCTATTTTCTTACACTTTATCCCTTTAATATCTGTTGTTTGCCTAATTGCTGCTGCTAGTGGTTCAATAAAGATAGTAAATAGTGAGGGGGAGAGTGGGCATCCCTGCCTGGTCCCCCTCTTAAGACAGAAGCTAGCTGACATTTGGTCGTTCGTCCTGACACGTGCTGTTGGTGAACTGTATAATGTTTGTAGCCAGTTTATGAAGAAATTCCCAAAACCAAATTTATGTAAAGTTGCAAATAAGAACTTCCAGTTAACTCTATCAAAAGCTTTTTCTGCATCTAGAGATAATGTACTAGTTTCTATGTTTCTACTGTAAGAGAAATCTATCAAATTAAGTAATCTACGTGAATTTGTGGGTGATTGTCTACCCTTAATGAAACCAGTTTGGTCAGGGTGTATTATGAAGGGGGTTACCTTCTCTAATCTTTTGGCCAGGGCTTTACAAATTATTTTGAGATCAACATTAATAAGAGAAATTGGGCGATAGCTGGTAGGAAATGCCGGGTCTTTGCCTGGTTTTAACAAGAGACTAATATTGGCTGAATTCATGTTTGGCTGTAATCTGCTGCTCTCTTCGATTTCCCTCACCATTCTGAAAAATATTGGAGCCAGAATGATCCAGAATTCTTTGTAGAATTCTACTGGGAACCCGTCTGGACCTGGAGCTTTCCTATTCGTCATGGATTTAAGGGCTTCCTGGAGCTCCGCTGATGTTAGTGGCGAGTCCAGGACTGTAGCTTGGCTGTCTGATAATTTAGGAAGTGTTATCCTGTCAAGGAACTCATTGATCTCATTATCTGATGGGTTTATCTGTGGTGAGTACAACGTTTGGTAAAAGTCTCTGAAGGTGTTGTTTATTCTTTCAGGGTCATATACTATATTCCCGGTTGAGTCTTTAACAGCAGATATGGTAGTTTGTCTTTTTAACACCTTAATCTAACAGCTGAAATGTCTCTCAGCCATCCTTATTGTCTACAGGAGTGGTTCATCACTAAATTAAACAAATCAGTTATGTTCATGATCTAAAACATGCAGGAAACGTGCTAGACACAGCTTACATACCTGGTACTGCAGTCTAAGTTACACAGACCGGACCAGTAACTGGGGCGATAGAGGCTGTGAGGCATTTCCTTACCCTCTAACAGGGCTGCCAACTTTCATGCGTTGAGCTCTCACTCCACAGCTCCAATATCTCACGCTGATTAATCAACTCTCCCCTCCCCACCCCCCCACCCCTCGCTCTAATGGCCAGTGAACAGGGTGAAACAGTCCGCTCACACGCTGGCTCAAGAAAAGTATTTAAAGATGTGGAAAAGTTGCAACGTATCCCTTTAAATCAAGTGCAAGTCAAGTATTTGTACAAAATGTGAAGCTGATTGTGTGCTTCTGCTTGTGTGCATGTCTTTCCAGCACAGGGCAGGTGACAGGCCTTCAGAGGGGTTCAACCACAGAGAGATGGGAGTATGACAGTCAAGGAAGAATCATTTCCCGAGTTTTCGCTGATGGAAAGATATGGAGCTACACATATTTAGATAAGGTAAAAGATTAACACTAAATAAATTAACTGCCATACATTGTATTATTTTTGTGCATCACATGGAGTCATCTGAATGACCCTTCTGCTGCACAAGTTAGGTTAGGTTAACATTTTTGTCTTTGCCAACATCCTTTTTAAGCTGACATCATGTTTAAATATCGGTGTGGATATTTAGAACTGTAAAGATGTTTTTGATTCATTAATAAGGGAAGTTAAGTTAAGAGGGAAACATCTACCTCTCAAAAAGATTAACAGAGGAGGGGTCAGTTTTGGTGTGTTTTGGGGAAATTTCAACTGACAATGGCAGATGCACGTGGAAACTCTACTCGCACAGGCCGGGCTAAGGTCTCACCCTCGACTGAACCTGCATCTCCGCCGAAAGGGGCTATGGATCCCGAGGATGTGCTCAGTTTGGGTCACCTTCAGTATCACCGTTTTCGTTCCGTGTATGTTTGGGGTTTTGTTTTGTCAGGTCACCCATGCTCTTAATCATTTCTGGGACTGGTATACATTCCATGCTGCAGTGTAAAATATTACTTAAGCATGCAGCAGGCTGGATCGCTTCAACAATCGGGCTGGACTAAAATTTGTTAGCCGGAACAGTAATGGTCCAAACCAACCTATTAAACGCACTCAAGTTCTTCACCATCTTCAAACTTTAGGAGCCCATATTTCTTTCCTCCAGGAGACCCACTTGCAATCTCCTGGCCACACCAGATTAAAGGGGAGGTGGGTCAGTTAAGTTATTTATTCCAGTTTTATGGTAAATCTAGGGGGGCTGCCATTTTGATTCACAAATCAGTTCCCTTTGTGTGTTCTAATGTAGTATCTGATCCTAATGGAAGGTTTGTGTTTGTAACGGGACAACCATACAGGAACCCCGTTATTTTGGCTAACGTTTACGATCCAAATTGGGATGATGACAATTTTTTTCCTCAGTTGTTTACCAAATTGCCTGACGTGTCCATACATTGACTTATTATGGGAGGTGACTTCAACTGTTGGCTTAACTTGGTGTTAGACCGCTCTTCCACTAGACCAGGTGTGTTTTCAAAGTCCTCTAAATCTATCTGATCCTTCATGGAAGAGTTCTCAGTCATTGATCCATGTCGTTTTCTTAATTCAACCGGTAAAATTTCTTCTTTTTTTTTCTCATGTTCATCACTTCAATTCCCGCATTGATTATTTTCTCCTGGAAAAACGCTTTCTCCATGCTGTTAGGTTTTGCTCCTACAATGCTATTCTAATTTCAGATCATGCTCCATCCACGCTGGAATTATGTGTACATGAGCATGAACGTATTTAACTCCTTTGGTGTCCTAATACGCGTCTGCTATCTAACAAAGATTTTGTGAAGTTTGTTTCTAACAAATTGAGTCTTTTCTTACTACCAATAGAACTCCAGGGATCTCAGCCTCCCTGGTATGGGAGACCATGAAAGCATATATTAGGGGTGAAATTATTTCATACAGTAGCTATGAGAACAAACACAGGGAAAAAAATTACAAGAGTTGATGGTGTGAATTTCCCAGCTTAATAGTATGTACTGTATGCCTCCTCCCCATCCCCCAACATATATAGGGATCATCTTTCTTTTCAAGCTGAGTATGATACACTCTCCACTAGAGAGGTTGAGGAACTCTTATTTCAAGCTAAATACTGTTATTATGAATCTGGAGACAGGGCGACTAAACTTTTGGCTCATCGGCTTCGACAGGCATTCTCCTCTACAGATTCTGCTAATTTATGCTCCTGGTGTTACAGCGGCACGCGTCCCAGAAGCGGCACGTCGCGTCGCTAAAGATTGGATCGGGTTCTATTTTTGACGCAAGCAGCTTCTGGGATGCATCGGTTTCCGCAGTTAATATAGGGCTAATCAGGAAATCACACACGATTTCAGTGTAAAATCCCTGGTAACCTTCAAAATAATAATACTACAGCAATACAGTTTATATATATGACACTTACTTGTGACCCAATGCTGGTCTTGTATCTTGGGGTAATATGACTCAATCATGACAAAGATTAAGTTATAAAAGATAACCAGTTTATTACAATCCAGTCCATGTCAGTACAGATACATGCATGCGTATGGAGGAGATCCCAGTCCAAATTCAAACTCCCCCCGGCCAATGCCCAAAGCACACTTTTTATCCTCTGAGGAAACTGTCCCCTCCCATATAGGCAGATGAGATGGGAGACTGCATCTCCTCAGAGTAGCTAACCAGTGGCTCTTGGTGTCATATTATCTTTAAGATCTGAGGCTCATTCTCTCCCATTTAAGGTGAACTTTCTGCACACACCAAGTCTTTCTGTCTCAGCCAGAGCTGGTCATCTGACCATGTATGCTAAACATTTTATAGACAAAACTTTTGGTTTGGAAAGCAACAAGACTTTAAGCTTGCTGTCTGCATGTGCCTCTCAGGTCAAAGGTTATCCTGAGAGGTAAACAATGGCCTCCTGTTGTCATACCAGACTGAAATGCTTCATGTGATTCACCTTATACTTTTTATTCTGAACTAAATACAGAATTACAATATTATACAATATTCTCTATACAATATTCTCCGGCTCTTTTAGGAGAACCGGTTCTTACAGCTCGGCTCACTAAAATTAACCGGTTCTTACAGCTCTCAAACGGCTCCTCACTTTGTTTTATAATTTAATTTATTACCAGAACATATGTAAAATGTGTGTGACATTATTGACCAATCTACAAACCTACATTTAATCAACTGTTAATCATTTAAAGGAAGACTAGGAAGTTTGGGCTTGTTTTTTGCACCTCTTGTGTCCAGGACCAAAAGCTAGACTTATTTTCTCGCTGTGTGAAATGACTCCCCAGCCATCATTAGCGTCTATAGAAGGGATTCATCACTAAATAAAACATATCAGATGTGTTCATGATCTAAAACATGCAGGAAACCTGCTGGAAGCAAACTGCTGCACCAGGTACATCAGCTAATCAGCGGCACGCCACACTGAACTTACAAGTCTGATATTCTGGCTACGGGGGCAGTGGTGTCTTTTACTTTCTCTGTAAGTAAGTTATTTTTATGGACTTAACTATTTACAGGTAAAAAAAATAAACTTAGAAAAGCTGAGATAATCATACAGGGACATTTGCTGCGCCTGCTTGAAAAGATATTTTTGCTTTGCATAGTTCAGACTATTCCTTTGAATTGTCAATATTGCTAAAATGTGTCCAAATCTGGCTGCATCTCCTGCTTTAACTCATGTCCTCACCTTTCTGTAGCCTAGGGGTGCCAAATCCCGGTCCTGGGGAATTGGTATCCAGCAGGTTTTGTGGTTTCTCTACTTCAACACACTTGATTCAGTGGTTGAATCACCTGTGCAGCAGCTCATCAAGCGCTGCAGACACCTATTAATCAGCCTCAAAAACAGTTTGGATAAAAGGACGAACAACTAAGTCCTTCAGGGGTACTTCTGAGTTAAAAAATGCTCATGAATACGTATGTGGAGTAACCAGGTAGGTAGGTTTTAAAAGTTGCAAATCTGCAAACGCCTGCCTCCAGAGGGTTAATCACCTGCTGATTGAAATCAGGTGTGTTGAAACAGAGTTAAAACTAAAAACTGCTGGATTCTGGCCCTCCAGGACCAGGATTGGGCACCAACTGCATCTAGCCTTTTTTGTCTCTCCCCTTTGTTACTACCCTCCTCTGTGATGTTCTGGTTAAGTCTCCTGACCCAGGACAATATGGGAGGCAAAAACGGAAGAAATAATATTTATTTTGAGAAAAAGGGAACTAAAGGAGCGACGTCAAAGGGAGGAGAGAAGGGTCCGTTTAAGGTTGTGACGAAGCGGTGGGTTTGGAAGGCGGCTGTGGTGTTAGTGGGAGGTTGTCAGGTCTGAGGTGGAGGTCAGGCTTGAGAGTCCTTCCAGGAGGGGAGAAGAGAGTGCAAGGTGAGTGAGTCTGTCTGGGTGAGTAGGGGAGACATGGTCCAGAGAGGAGGTCCGTAAGTTTATGGCTGAGGGATGGACGAGGCGAGTGTACTTGGAGACAAGAAGGGGAATTAGGAACTCGAGGAACTAAAGACAAGCACAAGAGGTTCAAAGCTTGAGAAGTTGTCATGTGATCTCAAGTTATAGCAATACCCAAAGTGAGTAATCATCCAGCAAGGTGGTGTTGTCTCCCTGCTCCTTTTAAGCCCAGCAGCAGCAGCAGCTTCGGATCAACCAGTGGTTAAATGCGCCAAAAGGCAGATGGAGCTGGATAGATGGCACCCAAATGGAAATATAGCGAGCCAGCACAAGAAAGAAAATGTTAAAACAAGAGGAGTGTTCATTTGAAAGTGGGCATGTTGTAAAACAAAAATAAATTTTCTGGTCATAAACATTCTAGCTGCTGCAGATCACAAGACAGAAGAGAATAATTCTGTCTGGATGTGGACTCACTAATCGTGTTTTATACTAATAAAGACAATTAGTTGTTGAAATACTTTCTTTGAGAGGTTTCATCATATATATATATATATATATATATATTTACTCATGGCAAAATAACTTGAGGTGATCAGTAAACAGTGTAAGGTAACCTGTATGCTCCACAGAAACACAACTCAGCTGAAAAATGTTGGTGTTGCTGAACATTTTGCTCAGTTTCATGGTTTTTTGTCAGACTCTGAACCAGGAAATGGCTGCAGACAGTGAAACAGCAGGCAGACATTTCTGGAGCAACATGTGACTCCATCCCCTAATCAATAGACCCTTTTACTGTTTGTAAACAATATGACGTCAGCGAGAATGCGCGCGCAGCTTGGCAACAGAGAATGGCGTTGTGTCAGCCTTTATCAAGCTATGCTGCGGGGTTATCACCGGCAAATCTTGAATGTTATATTATTAAACTCACTTTAACGAATGGCAACAGACTCCCGGATCCCTGTGGCATTACGGAATGGGTGGAAGATGTAGGTGCGTGGCCAGAAATCCAGTGGCCCGATATATATACGTTTTTAGTGGAGAGGCCCAGTGAGTACACACATGAGAAGCTACGGGCATACAAATCGTTAGTTAGATGCATACAACTATGTTGTCTGTGGCCACGTACAGAAAGTAAAATATCACGACATAGACTCTGAGTTTTGCATCTTGAAGGCAGAAGTCCTTCCTAGCCAAAGACAAGGACACAAGACTGCTACGTACGAGGCTTGGGTCATAGTAAACAAACCAGAGAACTACGTCTTCACAGCCAACTGTACCTGCATGGCAGGGTGAGTATAGCATAGGTTTCTTTTTTTAGCGTGCTCAGAGTACAATCATGTTAATTTTAGAGAAATACAGTTTATACTAATATGCAGTGGGAAAATACAGATGAATTAGAATGAAATGTTAATTTGAAGCATGAAATAAAGCGTATAAATTTATATGTAACCTTAGTACATAATTACCTTACCTGATATAAAATGGGCGCTACAAACTCGAGCATTTCGGATCGTGTTTTCAGTCCAGTTTTCATCGACCCTTTTGATGGCCTGCAGCCACAGACGCCTCCGATTTTGTTGAAATGGATGTGCTCCCTTCGGAATTCTGTAAAGTTTCAGTCCACTGCTTGAAGAGAAGCGATTCTGGCATCCATACACGCAACAACCCGACATTTTTACGTGCTCAGAACTTCAAAACAAAGGGTTTAAAACGCTGTTTTAGTATCGAGTGTGAATGAGGAAGCCTTCACTCTCGTTGCCAGGCTTTGCGCGCAACTTTTGATGACGTAGGTAGTAAAAGGGTCTATCAGTGGCCAGAAAAGCCTGGGCCGGGGGCTCGCTACCCCTCAGCCCCCCCCCAAAACTTCGCCCCTGCCATAGCTATTAAGCATTCTGTTGGGTGACTTGATTATTTTTTTAGTAGATGTGTCACTGCTCTAGTTGCTTTACTACTTCAATGGTATGTTATACACTCTCTTTTTTTGGCCTCTCTAACAGTCCATGGTCCTACTGCTGCACAGCCAGCATCAGTACATCTTTGAATATGACTCGGGGAATCGTCTGTCTGCAGTTACCATGCCCAGTGTGGCTCGACATACCATGCAGACCATCAGATCCATTGGATACTACAGAAACATATACACCCCACCAGAAAGCAATGCCTCTGTCACTGTTGACTACTCGGAAGATGGACAGGTTTGTGGCGTGCAACAAATTCCCAAACAGTCTTTTTACTGAATGCAATATTTTTTTTGCAATGTTACTTCCATTCTTGATAAGTGATGCCAAGCTGCTTCATCTAGGGGACTGTCATGAGCATCTGCTTTGCATTTAATTTAATCTTCCAATGTTTTAATGGATTTTTGTCTTTTCAGCTTCTCAGACTTTCCCACCTAGGTACTGGTCGACAGATACTATACAAATATCGCAGACAGGTATTTGAATTTTTTAAACATACAACAGTAATTATCATTTAAATATTTTTTTAAGAAAATGTATATTTGCTCTTTTGAATGGTGAACATTCCTCATTTAAAGGCATAGATAGCAAAACAGTCTCACCTCTAAAGCAGTCCCACATTTAGAAGATTCGATAAACTTGTTTTTTTTAAATAATAGTTTGATTTCATTATTATGTTTAGTTTTTTTAGTTAAATTTGTCTGAGCTTTTTTACAAAAAGTTAAAATTATAAATGTTTTTGTGCCATTGAGCTTATATAAGTAATAAAATCTACATCCTATAGCTTATTTTCATTCATTTATCATGAGACATGATCAGGTGGTCATGGTGAGGCGTTGTAGCTATAAAAGAAGAAGAATTTAAGTGAACTGCTGTCACATTGACTGTAATAATGTATAACTGGATTTGTATGATCTGGTTCTCCATAACATTTTACTCTGTTGTTTTTCTCTCACTAGAATAAGCTGGCAGAGATTCTTTATGATTCAACACGAGTCAGTTTTACGTATGATGAGACTGCCGGGGTGCTTAAGACGGTTAACTTACAAAGTGAAGGTTTCATCTGCTCCATTCGGTTCCGCCAAATCGGCCCTCTGGTTGATCGACAGATATTCCGCTTCAGTGAAGATGGGATGGTGAATGCACGCTTTGACTATACCTACGACAACAGTTTCAGGGTCACCAGCATGCAGGCTGTAATCAACGAGACGCCACTGCCAATCGATCTCTACCAATTCGATGACATATCTGGGAAAATGGAACAGTTTGGAAAGTTTGGAGTCATTTATTATGACATCAACCAGGTGAGACAAAATAACCCTATTTAAATCATCTCTAGTTGATTAGGAAGAAAAAACTACCTCAGGAAGTTGTTTTTTGAACAGAATCTGATGCCCACAGTTTGCTTAAAAGGAATCATCACATGTTCAGAGCACTTTTTTTTCCTAATTTTGCTGAGTCTACCTAGTCAGCTAAGAACTGTAGATTCAGTTTACTATTAAAAGCCATACCTGCAAAAACGCAGTCCCAACATTCTTCTTTTTTTGCCATGATACTCTCTTTTTCCCCACTTAACTTTAACATTTACTGTGTTGTTTTTACAGTGCATCCAGAAAGTATTCATAGCGCTTCACTTATTCCACTGTTTTGTTTATGTTACAGCCTCATTCCAAAATGGATTTAATTCATTTTGCCCATAAAAGTCAACACCCCATATTGATAATGTGAAAAAAGTGTCTGAAGTTGTTACAAATTTATTAAAAATAAAAAACTTGAAACATCACATGAACATAAGTATTCACAGCCTTTACTCAGTACTTTGTTGATGCACCTTTTGCAGCAATTACAGCCTCAAGTCGTGTTGAATATGATGCCGAAAGCTTGCCACACCTAGCTTTGGGCAGTTTTGCCCGTTCGTCTTTGCAGCACCTCTCGAGCTCCATCAGGTTGGATGGAAAGCGCTGGTGCACAGCAGTTTTCAGTTCTCTCCAGAGATGTTCAATGGGGTTCAGGTCTGGGCTCTGGCTGGGCCACTCAAGGACATTCACCGAGTTTTTCTGTAGCGACTCCTTTGATATTTTGCTGTGTGCTTAGGGTCATTGTCCTGCAGAAAGGTGACCCGTCGCCCCAGTCTGAGGTCAAGAGCCCTTTGGAGCAGGTTTTCATCCAGGATGTCTCTGTACATTGGTGCAGTCATCTTTCTGTCTATCCTGACTAGTCTTCCAGTTCCTGCCGCTGAAAAACATCCCCAAAGCATGATACTGCCACCACCATGCTTCACTGTAGGGGTGGTATTGGCCTGGTGATGAGCAGTGCCTGATTTTCTCCAAACGTAACGCCTGGCATTCACTCCAAAGAGTTAAATATTTGTCTCATCAGACCAGAGGATTTTGTTTCTCATGGTCTGAGGGTCCCTAAGGTGCCTTTTAGCAAACTCCAAGGGGGCTGCCATGTGCCTTTTACTAAGGAGAGACTTCCAACTGGCCATTCTACCATACAGGCCTGATTGGTGGATTGCTGCAGAGATGGTTGTCCTTCTGCAAGGTTCTCCCCTCTCCACAGAAGACCGCTGGAGCTCTGACAAAGTGACCATCCGGTTATTGGTCACCTCCCTGACCAAGGCCCTTCTCCCCGTTCACTCAGCTTAGAAGGCCGGACAGCTCTAGGAAGAGTCTTGGTGGCTCCAAACTTCTTCCACTTACGGATGATGGAGGCCACTGTGATCATAGGAACCTTTAGCAACAGAAATGTTTCTGTAACCTTCCCCAGCCTTGTGCCTCAAGAGACAATCCTGTCTCGGAGGTCTACACTCAGTTCCTTTGTCTTCATGCTTGGTTTGTGCTTTGACATGCACTGCCAACCCAGGGGCCTTATATAGACAGGTGTGTGCCTTTCCAAATCATGTCCAATAAACTTAGGCCCTGTCCACACGTAGCCGGGGATCTGCCAAAACGTAGATATTTTTCTACGTTTTGGCCTGTCATCCACACGAAAACGGAGTTTTTTCACACGAAAACGGATCTTTTTAAAAACTCCGGCCAAAGTGAAGATCTGCGTTTTCTCCGTTTTGGGTGTCTGCGTGTGGACAGACAAAACCGGAGTTTTAAGGTCCGCAACGTCACTTTCCGCGACAAAAAAATGCTGACATCACGTGTGCGACCTGTGTTTACACTAGCCGGCATCATGGAAGCCCTCGGAGCTGCGCTCTGTCACTACCTGATCCATCAATCGTCCAAGCGCTTGTTGCTTGTTTGTTTTTGCGAGCGGAATTACTTCTCCTTGCGGAAGACCACAGACGAAGGACGAGGTTAAGAACAGGGGAAGTACTGCCGCCTACAGGTCTGGCATGTCCTTAACAACGTATTTATCTGGGTACGTGTGGACAGAGTTTGTTTTTAAAACGCGGTGGTGTGGATGCAAGTTTTTGGAGGGGCGGATATTCCTTTTTTTTAAAAACCCGGCTACGTGTGGACTAGGCCTTAGTTTACCACAGGTGGACTCCAGTTAATCTGCTGAAACACCTCAGGGATGATCAGTGGAAACAGAATGCACCTCAGCTCAATTCTGAGCTTCATGTCAAAGGCTGTGAATGCTTGTTTTCATGTGATTTCTCAAGTTTTTTTTATTTTTACTATATTTGCTACAACTTCAAAACACTTTTTTCACATCACCATTATGGGGTGTAGTGTGTTGAACTTTATGGGCAAAATGAACTTAATCCATTTTGGAATGAGGCTGTATCATAAACAAAAACGTAGAACAGGTGAAGCGCTATCAATACTTTCCGGATGCATTGTATACTGCAATATATGATTTTTTTCCCCACTGTAATTGATTAATGATATAAATGTTTCCACAAATTTCATTTCATTCAAGTTCACATGTTGTGGTCATTAATTGCTTAATCTTGATTGAAGTAGTGTCTTGACCACATTAAGATCGGAGAAGGGAGCTCCCTCTTGCCTGGGTGGAATGCAACCATTTTTTTCTCTTTCTGTCAGATCATATCAACCACTGTGATGTCCTACACCAAACATTTTGACCAGCATGGCCGCATCAAGGAGATCCAGTATGAAATTTTCAGGTCTTTAATGTACTGGATCACTATTCAATATGACAACATGGGCCGAGTCACCAAGCGCGAGATCAAGATTGGACCTTTCGCCAATACAACCAGATATGGTTATGAGTATGATGATGATGGACAGCTTCTGACAGTCTCCCTCAATGAGAAGCTGATGTGGAGGTTAGATTATTTCATTAAACCAAACAGTTTGCATGATGTTTGGTGTTAATAATACATTTTCTGGCTTTTCAGATATAGTTACGACCTGAATGGAAATCTGCACTTGTTGAATCCAGGAAACAGTGGTCGTTTAACCCCTTTACGCTACGACCTGAGGGACAGAATCACTCGTCTGGGAGACATTCATTACAGGCTGGATGAAGATGGATTTTTGAGACAGAGAGGAACTGAAATATTTGAATTCAATTCCAAAGGTGAGAATTAATTATGTGTATATGTTGTGTTCAACATGACAAAAGAAGTTGTGTTATATGAAAGAATCTCAGGAAAGTCCATTCAAAGGTCATTTATCAGGGGGATAGCAAAACAGCAAATTGTGTTGAAATTTCTTGATGACTAAAGAGTTGGGGTTGGGTTATGTTGTTATAGCCAATGTTGTACCGGAACATGTTCATGAACTCGCTCAGTTATTTTATTTTATTTTATTTATTTATTTTTGAACATGAACTGACCTCGCTCGTATTTTGCCTGATGAACGTTAAAGTTCACTCTGGCATGTGTGAACGATATTCTCTTGCCATTCGAGCTCCAGATCTCCACGGAGCTAAAGCTAAAACATCCTGTTAACCATAGACTTTGTAAAAAGTAGACCCTGGAAATTTGGCCATCATAGGCAGTAGTGGTCAGTGTGGCGTCTACTCTTCTATGCCTATGCTGTGTGGAGGATGGATGTCATGGTGTGTTCCATTTATCTCAGAAAATATACCGTTACACCATTACAAGTGTGTGTGTGGTGGTGGTGGGGGGGGGGGGGGGGGGGGGGGTCCACCGATTCTATTTATAACCTTTATGGACAGGATTTGACATTCCAGAGTCTGGGAGCAGCAAACGCGAATGCACGCTCCCCACAAGACTTGTATCTCATTTTGGGAATGTGGAACAGTAGAGGTCAGCAGACCTCAGTGACCTGGAGGGGATGTAGGGGGTGAGCAGCTCTGACAAGTACATGCGGGCTAGACCATTCAGGGCTTTGAAGGGAAAAGGTAAAACTTTTCATTTCATTCGAAAGTGCAGAGGAAGCCAGTGAAGATTGGCCAGAATGGGAGTGATGTGACAGCGTCTGTGTTTGAAAGAAACCTTGTAGTCTGGACTTTATGTAGACGGTTGATCCCATCACATGATCGGATCGGAGTATATCTTATTTTGTACACGAGGCCCCTGATTATTTTTTAGCATGTCCTGAAGTGTAAAACCCTAAAGCTTAAAAGGGGGGCATCTTTGTACTCCTTGTGACTGTGAATCATTGAAGTCTCGTGTGTTTCTATCCACCATTTGTCCCGTGAGTCAGTTTTGGTATGTTTGGAGCCTTTGGCTTGTCAGTTAGTTGGAGCCATTTTGTCTGTGTCATCATCACACACATTGGTCAAGTTAACAGCCCACAGGTCACAAGCCAAGCAACACCAGTGGCTTAAGCAAAAAGATCAGAAACCAAATATTTTAAAATGTAAAATAAATAGTGTTGTGGCCATCTCATTAATCCTGTTTCTGTTTAGCCAGCACTCTTCTTGTGACACACTGTTATTGTTATATTTCTATTCTGATAGCTGCTATTCATACATTTTATTTCAGGTCTTTTAATTCGTGTGTACAGTAAGGCATCTAGTTGGACGATCCAGTATCGCTATGATGGCTTGGGGCGGCGTGTGGCATCAAAAAATAGTCTGGGACAACACTTGCAGTTTTTCTATGCTGATCTGAACTACCCCACAAGGATCACTCATGTCTACAACCACTCAAGCTCGGAGATCACATCGTTCTACTATGATCTGCAGGTAGCTGCTCTGAAAAACCCTCAACATCTGGTAAAAACATGCTTAGAAATTCAGGTCAAACATCATACAAATATAGTACTGTGCAAATGTTTTAGGCAGGTGTGAAAAATGCTGTAAAAATGGAACACAGAAAAAAACATTTTTAATATCTTATCTCTGATTCTAACAGGTCACACTGATTTTTCATGCAAACTGAACATGAAAATAGTCTCCTACACCTATCTCCTGCATTCGCACGTGATTGAAAATGGACAGTGAAACTCTAGGATTAGAAAAGCCTGACAGCTCTACGTCACAAAACATTCATGGACTCACCCATCTTGACTCATGACGGGGAAGGCTGTTGTTGGTTACAAGCCTGTGTTATTTGTGGAACACCAACGTTGCAGAGCTACGAGTCAGTGGTAGAGTTGTGTTTCTGTTATGTAATCCAATTATCAGAAAATAAGAGTCCAAATTCTGTCTTGTTTATTGTTTATTTCTATCAATTTACTAACTGCAAAGTGAGTAACCCCAGACATCCAGCCAAAACCATTAAGAACTATATTCAGCACAAAGAAGAGCCAGAAGTCCTGGAAGCGATGATCCGTTTTTACTAAACAAAGCCGTCAATTTGTCGAAACGCTGAAGCGGCATCAGGGAGACATAGGCTGTAACAGCTCTGTTCAAGTGTAGCTAGAAGAACCAAGGCTGTTTTGGAGGAAAAAGGCAATTATTGGTTTGATTTAGATTTTTTTTTTGTTTATTTACAGTTGTTTGTTGATTAATTAAAATAAATTAACAAGTTTTAAATTTAACAAGTTTAACTTTTTGAAAGCAATCTTTGTTTACAGCATTATTACACACCTGCCTAAATTATTTGCACAGTAGTGTGTGTGTGTGTGTGTGTGTGTGTGTGTGTGTGTGTGTGTGTGTGTGTGTGTATGTGTGTGTGCGCGTTGAAATTTTTGTACGCGTTAATGTACAAAAAAGTATTTATCGGCCTTAGTTTTTTAATGCATCAAAGAAATAATACTGAATCAACTTTTTACAAACGTTTGTACGAAGTTCAGCTTTAATGGCAAACGTAGTATAGGAACATTTCTTAAATTTGAACAGGCTCAGAACGAATAAAAGTAGTGTTCACTCACTTGAGTGTGACTGGTAATTGCAACAGATTTGTCAAGAAATTTTTTTTCTTCCTGGAGTTCTTATAGATCTTACTTTATAGGGAAAATTTGCAACTTTTTCATATTTTTAAATCATTTTCTTGAGCCAGGATGTGCTAAAATCACCCTTTCAGGGTATCCGCGGGTCCTTAAAAAGTCTTAAAAAGTCTTAAATTTACTTTTCCAAATTTAAGGCCTTGAAAATCCTTAAAAATTACAAATAATCCTTAAATACAGTTTCCAAAGGTCTTAAATTACCAAAGACCCAATAAACAAGATTATTTTATTCATTTTTGTGAATTTCTAGTTAGTCTTCAGCATTTTTTGTGTGTGATATTGGCGTAAGCGGAACCGTACACATTCAGTTGGTTGTGAAAGGGGGCTATTTTTAGATGAGCACATTAGCTGGTTAAGCTAGTGGGAGCTTGTGCCGTGGAGAAGTGCAAGTTTAATGGTAACTGGATGGCTAATCCCACGTTCGCAACGTGGTTAACACCAGTCCCAGGCAATAGCTGGAAATTATAGCAGAAATAAAATTTAAAAAAATAGCTTAAATTTGGTCAAAGTGGCCTTAAAAATGGTCTTAAAAAGTCTTAAATTTGGCTCCCATAAACCTGCAGATACCCTGCCCTTTACAGAGTTAATGAAAGGCCACCCAGCCCATATTGCCCCCTGTGGCCAGTGTATTGCACCTACAACTTCACAGTTGCCAGTCTGGTCTGCTGGGAGCTGAGGTACCTAATGCTGCTGTCTGGCTTCAGCACGTTTCCTGCATGTTTTAGATCATGAACACAGCTGATTTGTTTAATTTAGTGATTAATCATTCCTGTAGACACTCAGAAACGCTAGGAGATGTTTCAGCTGTTAGATTAAGGTGTTAAAAAGACAAACGCACAGCAAGGAGATAGTTTCGCTTCTACAAGCAGACACTAGGGGTTGATAAAAGAATGCATAACTGTTTGTTTCATTTTAATGTTATTCCTTTAACCCACAAATAAACAGACATTTTATGCAATTCCTCTCTGGATAAAGGACTGAATCCTTTAGCAGTTTGTAAAAAATGAGAGAAAATAACAAGAAGAAAACAATGTTTTTCAGTGATGAGTTTTTGATTCCGTAGCAGCAGTTGAGCAATGTCAGATTTCACCTACACCGCTCTACATGTCGTATACATGCCTTCTTTGTCATTCATAACATTAATTATTCTCTCTTCAGTTTTTACAACAACTTTTCTGTACTTGCACAGGGTCATGTGTTTGCCATGGAGATCAGCAGTGGAGAAGAGTTTTATATTGCATGTGACAACACCGGCACTCCTCTGGCTGTCTTTAGCAACAACGGACTCCTGCTGAAACAAGTATGTGTGTTTCCCCAGAAAGGAACGCTTCCAGACATGTCTCAATATTAGACCAATAATTGTGTGTGTGGGTGTGTGGGTGTGTGTAGGTGCAGTACACGGCCTATGGAGAGGTTTACTTTGACTCAAATCCAGACTTTGTCCTGGTGATTGGTTTTCATGGAGGTCTGTATGATCCTTTGACTCGTCTGCTTCACTTTGGAAGCAGAGATTATGATATTCCTGCTGGGAGGTAATAAACTCATCATTTATTTGCTCATTGCCAGTTCATTCTTCATGTCAGTTATGCTCAGAGATTCTTGTTTTGTTTTGTTTTTTCCTGTGAAGGTGGACTACTCCTGACATCAGCACCTGGACACGTGTTGGTAAAGATCCGCAACCCTTTAACTTGTATATGTTCAGAGGAAATAACCCCATCAGCAAAATCCATCAAGTCAAAGAGTATGTTACAGGTAACAAGTCAAGTCAGTTAAATTCAGTCAGATTAACTGAAGTTATTGGCGGTCCTTTCCTTTAGCTGTGAATTATGCAAACGGCTGAACTGAGTGGAAAAGTTCACTTGGTGTTTACCACCCAGCGTTTGAGTCTGACCCATTTGTAAATGTAAGTCCTTCTGTGTCATTCTAGTGTCATTTTTTAAAGATTTTCTATGCTTTTACTAGGTTATGAGTGAAAGCAACCTAATAACTAATTAAAACACCTAATTATACATATGATCATGGGCGTCGCACCTGTGGGGGATTTGGCTGTTTTAACGCCCACACTTTCCCCACAGTTTAGCTAATCTAATCAAAGATACTTTATTAATCCCGGAGGGAAATTAGAGTTTCAGTACACACAATTCAGAGATCAGACACACATGGGCAAGACGTGTAAATGCCGACACTGCAGTCTTGTTACGGGAAGAAATTCAGACTCTGCTGTTGAAAGGAGCTATTTGAGCGGCCCCTACCAAGGACACAAACAAAGGATTGGACAGCCGCTACTTTGTTGTCCCAAAAAAGGGGGGCCTCGCCCTATTTTGGATTTGTATGTGTTAAATAAGTATCTGCGCAAATAAATTGTCCTTAGGTGCGAGTGTGTGTGTGCATGATTGTTTGTCCTGTGTGTCTCTGTGTTGCCCTTCGATGGACTGGCTCTCTGTCCAGGGTGTACCCCACCTGATTGCCCGTTGACCGCTGGAGATAGCCACCAGCCCCCCCGAAACCCTACGTGGACAAAGCGGGTTCAGACGATGGATGGATGGATAAAAAAATGTTTAAAACGAGTTTATATCATGTTTCTCTAAACATTGGTTCTGCAATTTGCTCTTTAATATGCGACTAAACAGATAACAACTCATTAGCAGATTAGATATTTTGTCTGTACAAAGTGTGACTGACTGGACCTGGAGTTGCTGAGACAGGTTTGAGAGGTCAGATAGCACGTGATGAACCTGAGGCCACACAAGAATTCTGTGCTTTGCATATGACGTGCCAGGCCTCTGTAAGTTTGCTTCTTTGCTGTTTCTAGCGTAATCTCCCGCAGATTTTTCAAAGTGTCTGTTCAGCGCATAATTTGACCCTCCACTTCTAGACTCCTCATGTCATCGAACTTATTTCCTGTAGAATGCTAGAGCCGCCTGAGGACTGGATTTTAAAGGATACCCACTCATCAGATGTAGTTGTAGACACGCTTCTCTCTGTGAGAATGCTGGTTGATTTTGTTGCACTGCAGACAGTACACCCTAGAAGAAAGCAAAAGCATCAGTAATCAATCAAATACAAGTTGTTGTTTTGTATCCATATTAGCTTTAAAACCTGCTGAACATTGAATCTTCTCTGCCCTCCTGTATTCTAAGGGGAAACCTACTTTAAATAGAGAAAGCGCCAGGCGGTCTCCAGCGTCACCCCTCTATCACCTTAGCTACAGCTTCCTCATTTACGCATCTGTACCAGCTTCCTGCCACCCTGTTAAAGATTTACCAGTCACTAAGATGAATTAAATGCTTTATTTTTATTCAAGATTTTGTCAGCTGCTTCAGACTGACTGATCCTTTCATACAGTAGACATACAATAGAAAAAATATTTATAAGTACAAAGATACCCATAAAATGCATGCAAGACTGCACGTAGTGATTGTCATAAAAGTCACGTGTGTTATATATGGTAACGGGGTAAGAAAGGTGGTGAGTTCAAGGGGGGTTATTTACAGCGGGATAACACACTGCCACAAAGAGGGGACTGAGCACCAATGCTCTACAATATCATTTGTTTGTGTTTAGTGGAAGTACTGTTTTGTTACATCTATGTTATTTTATGTGTATCACATCACATTCTTTTTTACATCACAAAATTACTGTGTTACATGCTGTGTGTGTGTTTTGTTAGGTGGGTTATGTAATTTCTGTGTTGTGGTACATGTGTGTTACTGTACACAGGTTGCTGTTGACAGCTCTTTAAGCAAAACTGAGCAAAAAATTGTGCTTTTACCACTTCATCTTTTCATTTCTTTCTACATTCCTTTCTGTTTTTTTGTTGTTGGTTTTTTTTGGCAGATGTCAACATCTGGTTGGTTACTTTTGGCTTTCATCTTCACAACGCTATCCCTGGATTCCCGATTCCCATGTTTGATCTGACAGAGCCATCACTGGAGATGAAAAAGACCCAGCTGTGGGATGACCTGCCTGTATGTATTACAAGTACTTTTACTGTGCCTTAGATTGGTTTATTGAATAAGAACTAAACCACTGACACATTGTCTTATTGTGTGCATTTTTCTAGCAGTGCCATATGATGATAAAATATTTGCTTCCTAAGCACTGGTTGTCATGATTCAAAACGTACTGTTGT